TGCAACCAAAAGGGTGCCATGGGAGGGGCACAGAATACACCTCGGGCTGTATTTACGACGTTTTTGATTTGTAACTTACTCTGCTGCAATAGTAACCCAGTGTGTAGAAGGGTGGTGCAATCTACCCTGCATTGCAATTTAACTTCGATATCTGATGAAGGATAAAAATCAGCAGAGCAGAGCTGAGAAAAACTGCCAGTGGGTTTCACTTTCTAAAGGCAGGGTTAGCATGAGCCCAGGTCCCACCTGACTAAAACTGTAGGAGCGCAGCACCGGCTGGGTTGATGGATCTCAGTCTGAACTGTTACTGGTAGGTGGCAGGGAGTGGCTTGATGAAAGCTCAGGCCGCCCTCTTTTCTGTGACCAAACCCTGAGCCGTACCTATGCAATCTGCGACACGCTCTGGAAAGCGGTAGGAAACTAGAGCTGCTTTCTGAAGACGGCTGGAAAAGTGGCCTGATCTCAGCAACCCCTACACCACCCTGTTCTTTGAGTCTGTGGACAGGTCATGCAGAGCTTTCCTTTACAAAAAAACCCAACCCAACAACTCTCTGCCTTTGGCATAATTGCTGTCCTTATTTTGGTGAATGTTTCTGTTGTCCCCTAGAAGACCACCAGTGAAGACAAAGCTGGAGTACAACCCCTTTTCCACACGGAGAGGCAGCGGTGCAGAACTTGGCTCTTGTTGCTCTGTATGGGCTTGAAGGAGCCGCTGCTCAGGTGCATCCCGCCTTTCCCTTCTCATAGCTACACTCCTGCTGCGCCCTTGCCGGTACCATAACAGGGCAAAGGCGGGTTTTGGGACTCATTCACACCCTCCCTCATTTCCAAGAGCCATCATATCAAACCTTTGTGAAAGTAGTGTTGAAATAAACAAAAGTGAGCTGTGACTGGGATTTTCCCACTTGTGGTTTGATAAGGAGAGAAGAAAAATAGACATTTTGCAGCCACAGCAGATTTGTTCCTTTATTCTTTAGTTTACTGTCAGCTCCTGATCCCTTTTGCCTCCCAGCTGATTCTGCCCTTTCATTGCTAGGCTCTGGGGTCCTTCGCTGAGCCACAGTGGAAGAGCAGAGAGGGGAAAAGAGGAGAAAATGCCCAGCTTGACTGTAGCTCATAGAAAGGAGGAAATCACCACTTGGTCTGTGTTGGCAGCAAGCGCTGTATCAGCCTTGTCTCCAAAACCTGGCTGGACAAAGTGCTTGTGAGCAGACCACAAAAGCAGCCGTGGCCTGGGAGGGGAGAGGGCCTGCCTGGGTCCAGGGGGAAGCAGCGGCATCAGTCTGATGTCCTGGCTTCTACAAGGAAAATGCTTCATACCTTGAGGAGCAAACCCAGTCCCGAGAGCCCTGCATTTACCCGGGGCCTGCTGCTCTGCGGGTCCTCCCCGCTCCTACTTTCCCTCCAGTGAATGCAAAGTGCTTCTGCAGAACTGAGGGAAGCAACCTGGCATACGGGAGGCGAAGAGCTCGTACATACATGGGCTAGTCCCACAAAACCCTTGCAAGTCCACCCCCCCTCCCATGCCCTGACACTGGTGTAAATGTCTCCATGTCTTTGAAGGAGGGTGCAGTCACTTTGTCAGGGATGGCTTGGGAGAAACACATCACCTTGCAGACAGCTCCAGGTGTGCCCGAGCCATCTGCCACCTACTCCGCCTGCCCTAGGGCGTCTGCTGTGGTACAACAGACACACTGTGCTGTACACTGGGGTACCAAAAACCATCATACTCCAATGAGTCGTGGTGTAATATCTGCACCAAACTGAGAGGCAGACCATGGCAAAGGCTCTGAGTCTGCAAAGCACAGCTGGGTGGTAGAGAGGGAAATGGGCTCTTCAGGGGGAGAAGCAGCTGTTTGTGTAAGGGACCTTCACCCTGTGGCAGATCTTTTCCATTGATATTCACTGTGGAGACGAGCTTTGGGAGCTACATCTACGTTACCCTTCACGCAGTGGTGGAGGAAGCTGCGAAGCTGCTGCTGCTGCTGGTGGGTGTGGGGGCAGCTCACGCGGTGCTGGTCCTCCTGTCCTCACCCTCCTGGCGCAGCAGCCCTGCTGACCTTGGGGCCCTGCACGCAGCTCTGTGGTGCTCGACAGGAGCCAGCTTTGCTCGCTTACAGCTTTTCACAAATGCAGCCAAGCTTTGTTCTGTGTGGCCATACAATTCTTCTGCTGAGCTACAGCTTTTTAGGGTGCCTGCTATTCAGATGGGGCATGCTTGTTCGTAATGAAATAAGCTGCTTTAAAGTCATTTTGGCACAAATTAAGTGTTTGTGATACACACCATAAAAAAGCTTTAAAAAAAAAGAATTATATCAGGAAGGTAAAAAAACCCAAATTGTTTTCCATATGGGCAGGCAGGCCTATACACGTGCCTTCCATGTACAGTGGCCATTACATCCTCACAATTGTTAATAGATGGGAACTAATTAGATAGAGATACAGCAGTGTGTGCCAATGGACAGTCTGGAGATGTGCTATCAATACACGACCCATTACTGTATCTTTTCCTCCTGGGAAATTCAAAGCATTATGCCCCATGTACAGCTGTGCCCTATTTGTAATCTAAGCTTCTAGCCTGGCTAGTCACCACCCATTAAACTCCCATTTTCCAGATCAAACCCCGTGTCTTAATCATGCAACAGCCTCAGCTCAGAAATACATCTGCGTACAGTGCTGGAAGTGAGGGCAAGGCAGAACGGGATTTCATAGGTCCCCTAAGCCTCCAAGATACGTAACAGACAGAAATGTTTAGATACACATTTGAAAGACATACTGAAAAATAGATGCCCTTTGTCCCAGAAATCCTGCTGAGAGTATCAGCAGGGGTGCTGCAGCTGCCAGGGAGCCTTGGAAGAAATTCCCAGGAGAACGTGATGCAGGATGACAATATTCCTGCAAGAACGTGCATTGACCCATGGAACTTAGTAGGGCAATGACAGATGTCACAGGACTGCTAATCAACAAAATATCAGTTACAGCAGTAAGTAAAAGATCAGTGGTAAATGCAGGTCTACAGACCAGTGTCTCTACAGATGCATGGAAATGATGTGTCTCAGAAGATCTTGAAAGGTCATCTACAGTGTCTTCCCCCGCAAAAGCAGGGCAGCTCTCCTTTTTGCCTTCTGAACACAACTCTGTCTAACTAAAAGTGAATTTTGCACCTTGGATTTCTGCTGGAGTTGAGCTGAGACCGCCTGTCTCTTTCACGTGACGGCCCAGGGTCAATATTGCACAGGCCAGGTCTGATGTGGTGAAGCACAGCACAGCTTTCAGGGTGAATTCAGCAGCAAATGTAGCCATAACGTGCACCTGCAAAGAGCTGTGCTACGACACAGCCTCCTCCCCTGTACACGTGAAATGGAGCATCCACTGGGGGAAGCAGCAGAGAGACCACAGTTTTACAAGTGTGTTTTCCACCTAAATCCACTGCTGAAATGTTCTCAGCCATATTGAATCTCAGCCTTAGCCCCTCTTTTTCACTAGATCAGAAGAGTGGTATCCAGAATACCAGGTTATAATTTGCCTCTGTCAATGAACCAGTAGAACTAATGTCGTGCATGTAATATCAAACATTGATAAATTTTCGTGATGGCCTGGTAGAGTCAGTACTGTTGTCCTTATGTTCCTGATGTGCCCAGTTTGGGGGGGGAGTCAGCAACAGACCCCGAAGAGGTACAGGGAGAGCAGAGGTAGGTTTTTGATGGATTTTTTGATCTCTTCAGTTGAATTAAACTGTATTACTTGGACACATAATTCTTACTAAGATATATTTTAAGCAAGACTTTTTATTACATGTTGTTGTACATTACTAAATTATTACATAACACCACTTCTTCTACACAAGTCAAATGCTTAGATTCTCGAGAACTAGTTGGCACTGGCAAAGTGTGTGTCTACATCTGCTTGCAGACAGTAAACTGTTGCCCTTAGTTTTTAAAAAAAATATACAAAAACATTTCTCTGAATCTTGGCTATTCCACTCCCCCATCTTTTAGCTATTCTTAGTGTAACTGGATCTGGTGGTGCATCTTTAAACTGCAAAATCTCAGGTCTCCACGCAGTCAAAGGACAGACTGTACCCACTGCCCTTTAATGGTAAGGAGAAGCTGCCCACAGTGCAGTCCCTTCTGCACATCCCACCTCACGCTGGTGATGCTAGATGGAACCTTTACCTGGCAAGTGTCTCATCTTTTCCATCCATAACAGCTACGAGGGCTTTTTTTTTTCTTTTTTCTTTAAGGAAAAAAAAAAAGCTCCTCTAAAAGGAAAGAGGAAGCCAGAAATTTTGTAGTGTCTCAGTCCTGCCCCATGACGCTTCTTCCTGTCTGTGAATTTCCACCTGCCCCTGCTGCGTACATAAGGCAGCACACGTGGGGTAGAACTGTTTAGTCGCCTGCCTCTGTCCAAAGGATTAGCAGCGGTGGGGAGTGATGCTGTTTCTCCTTTCCTCTGCAGTTCGCGGGAGGTGAAGGAGCTCTGGCTGGACTCACTTCTTGGGTAAGTACTGCCCGGGATTAAATCTGTGGCGTTGCGGTTGAAGTCGGTGGAGTGCTCCAGATGCGGCTCTGCAGAGATGTACAAAAATAGAGATGGGGAGAGGTGCGCCCACTGCGAAGTGTAGCTCGTGGGCAGAGCTGACTGACTCCCTTAGCCTTGCGTTTGCAAATTAACAACAACCGTACATAGCTGTCACCACTTGCTCATTTTTTACATGGATTAAAAATGGAAAGCTGCTTTTTTTTTTTCGGTTTTAATCATGAGGCAGATAGAGCAGCAGGGCTGAGTGCCTTCCAGAGATGGGCGTTGTGACTGACTTGCCTGGGATATCTTGCTGGCTCAGGATCACACTTCAATGCTAGACTGGCTGGCAGAGGAGGAAGACAAGAAGGGTGCAGTTTTACAAAGCTCTTTCTTTCTCTGTTCCCTGTTCAATAAACAGGCAAACAAAAGGACCGAAGGAAATCAGAGAGTCCAGAGCTCCCCCGATCAGACTCCTAATGAAAGTGTTAAGCAGCTGTAATACTGTGAGTGTCTTTATTTTTTCAGCTCTGTCAACAGAGCGATTTTGAAAAGCTCTGATGTCTAAACCTTGGCATTCAGTTACTCACACCGTGTCTTCGTTTTCTTGCCTAGTCAAAGACACTAAATGCTGGGAACATGGAGAGTCTGATTGAGTGCCAGTCGGAGGTAAGCAGCCACTATGTTTCCCCCAGTCCTTGTTGGGTACTGGTGTGAGCTACCTTAGCAAAGTGGAGCTGGCCCTGTAGGAGCTGCCTGCTGCCTGGCATTACCCACGAGTGGGCAGAGCCCTTCGCAGGCAGCCCTGTGCAGCAGGAGCTGGGCATCACCAGCGCGTTCCCCGGGCTCCCAGGAAGCTTTGATCAAGAATCTGGCAGGCTCCGAAGCCATCAAGGCTCCCCTGAGGAGTTTGGGAGGAAATCTCCAGTGCCAGAGGGGGACACAGAAGGGCAGGCTGTGTCTGGCTGCAGCTCCTCTGGATGGAAAGAGCAGCCTGAAAGAGCAGGGAGCTGTGACTTGCTGGGCAGGTCTGGGGTGGCTGGCTGCAGGGCTTACCACAAACCCGCTGCTGGGCAGCGAGGCAGTGGCGCTTCTGGACTGAGGTGTCCCTTCAGCAGGTGCCTTGCTCTGGTTATTCCCTGGAGCGTCTCAGATTCCTGAGGAGCTGTAGTGACTCGCTGGTGGCCCTGGCTGCTGGTGTCAGCTCTGTAACCCTAACACGCTTCTTGCAGGCTGATGCCCAGAAATGTCCACCGCTGGTCCCAGCAGAATCTGAGGATGGATATTGCCACTCAGCTGGTGAGTTTTAAAAACAAACTGAGGAACCACCTTGTTATATAACGCTTGCAAGCTGGCGCTGCTGCAAAACCACCCGAAACTGCCCGCTTCACCTCCCTGAGAGCAACCCACAGCCCTCAGCCCCATCCAGGAGTTGGCTTAACCCCTGGAGTGCCACTCGCTTGCAAATGATCCCTTTCCCTTACACTCACTGGCAGAGCTGACAGTGCTGAGTGCCAGAGGTCTTGTATCCTTGTTCCCCGGTCCTCGGAGCCACATTTCGTTGTGTTCCCTGGTGGCAATGGAAAGTAAATGTGCTCCTTTCTCACTCGAGCATCACCACTGGGGTGTGGCACTGCAAGTGAGTACCGCTACCAGCGGTTGCACACCAGAGCAAACAAACCCTCTTGGCAGTAGAAACTGCACTTGTTTTCTCTCATCATGCAAAACCTTGGCACTTATAAACAACTCGGAGGAGACCATTAGCAAGGCAGGGTCAGATTTGGAGCAGAACGTCGTATCAAGCCATTTTTCAGGAATATCAGAAGCAAACATTTTATATGACACTAAGGTTAGGTGACTTCCTCATAGCTTTTAATCCCTCCCTACCAAGGACTTGTGCTATGCCACAAATGCAGGTCCTGAGAACTTCTTGTCTGTGTAAGACAACTTTATTTTGAAGTAGAAGATAAGTCCTTTATAGGAAATTTGCAGAAGGCAACTCCTTTAGAAAGCTTTCTAGCAGAAGGATCCCTCTCTCGCTGTTTCGGAAAGGGAAAAAAAGCCACACCTCATCCCAATACAACCATCATCTCCAAATTCCTAGCATGCCCTCCTCTGTAAGATGCAGGGGCAAAACCCATGCTAAGGGATTTTTGACCCTGAAGCCAACGAGGCCCTACTGTGATGCTCTCATCCTCTGGAGCAAGTATCACCTTCCACTGGCTGACTGGCAAGCACTAGCTCTAACAGGACCACTGATGTTAGAGTGCTGCTATTCTGAAGCTGGCAGAGCTGGAGCCATGTGTTTTCATTTCAGCCTGTGAGAGAGGCTGAAAAGCAGGAGCCCCTAGTACCACTCTTGCCCTAAGGCTGGGGCATGGTCAGAGCGCGTTGTGAAAATTGTTGTCATTGCCAGCTGCCCAAGTGACATATCTGCCTTAGATAGTTATCATAGAAACCACTGCAATATCAAAAATGTTATTTGTGTGCCTTGTATGTTCCCACTCTCTAAGAAGAAACAGTGACTAGAATGTTAAAAAAAAAGAAACCAAAAACCGGAAAGGTGGTGTCCTTAGAGGGATGGTCACAGTTTTACAGTTTAGGTGGTTGTTTCCTTAGTAACCACTTTGTTGTCTTTCAGTTTCTCCTCGTATGAGTTGTTTCAACATACAGCTCTGCACTGCACATAGATGAAAGGCTGCAGTGTGCTCTTTTTTAAAAAAAAATTGATTTTTTGCTTTCCTTTTGCTTGCAGCAGATGGAACAAAGAAAAGAAAGAAGGTGATATCGCAGTCATTTACTCTGAGGCGAAGCTCTGCCAGTGGGAATTCCCCAGGGCAGCTAGACTCGGGTGCCAAAATTGCTCTGTTTGGCCAGCCTCTGGCAGTTCTCTGTGGGGAAGATGACACCCTGCCCCAGCCGGTCCAGGTAAGCAAGCCTAGCGATACAGTTATCATACCTCTGGCTTCCAGCGTGAGGCAGGATCCCCCGTACTTGTGCTGCAGCACCCAGGTGATGAGCGCTTTTGGTGTTTCCCCTCCACACACGCTTCTGATAAGCTTAGGGGCCACCCCAGAAGTAGAAAGGGTCAGGTTTTGACCAGCGCACCCAACTACTTCTGGAAGTAACTTTGAGTGGAGACAACCCAGAGCCAGGAATAGGGGAAGATCTGCTCCTTAGTATAAACATCTGTGATTCTACAGAAGTCATTTAAATTAATCTTTCAGCAGCATAAACTTCCAAGGCTTTCTGTATTTCCCTGACAAACGTGTTAAGCTATGGAGTGCCACCGATAAATACCTAAACACTATCTTCAGGATAAAAACGGCCTTGTGACAGTTCTCCCACTGAGTTGGCTTTCCAATAGACAGGCTTTTTTGTCTTTTCTAAGCAATATTTGCCTGGTTTGGGAGGAAGGGGATTTGAACCAAGACTTAAGCCATCCCTTATTTCCCTCTGGAAGGAAGCAGGGATGAATCCACTGAAGTTAGTGGAATTCACCAGTCCAGAAAGAGGGTGGGTTGAGGGTTAGGTTAGATACTGTGATAATTAGAGCACAGTGTACCTCCAGACAACTTTTCTTCTGTTCCTAAAGAAATGTTCACTTGCTAAAGGACCTTCCTTCACCCAAGTAACTGTTCTCCCATTCCTGTCTGTTTTCTTTCCCTGCAGGATCTCCTAGCTATATTGTATATGAAAGGACCTACCACTGAAGGGATATTCAGAAAAGCTGCCAATGAGAAAGCACGGAAGGAGCTGAAGGAGGACCTGAACAAAGGCGGGAATGTTGATTTGAAAAGCAAATCTGTGCACCTGCTGGCAGTGGTCTTGAAGGTGAGCTCCTCTGACCTGCAGTGGTGGCAGGACATTGCTAATCTGCTCAGGCCCACTTCAGTGCCCAGAGGTGACCTAGGTGGGACTCCAAGCTAAAGCCAGAGCAAAGCCAGACTAAATGTTTCAGGTTTAGGAAAGTATAGCATTTTCCTTTTCCACCTTACTTCCAGTCCCACTTGTTGTGCTCCTGATTTCCTGCATGCCCGCAGGAAAATCACTTTGTCCTTCCCCTCAGCACCCTCCCAGGGAAGAATACTGAGATTTATGGGTGAGCAAAAAGCAGCCAAGAGCTGGGTCCCGTTACTCCACCAGTGCAAGTGTACTTGGCATGTACTTGTGCATGGCACTGCTCTGCCAATGCTGGTGTTCAGGTAGCTCAAGGCAACCCACCTCATAGTGAGCCCATGTCACAGTGATGCTCCCTCTGTGCTCAGGGGCAGTGTCCAAAGCCTCATCCAAATCTTTTGCCCTTGCAGGACTTCCTCCGAAATATTCCCTCCAAACTCCTGTCAGCTGACCTCTATGACAAGTGGATGCAGGCTCTGGAGAAGTCCAACAAGCAGGAAAAACTTCAAGAATTGAAAGAGTGAGTTTTGCAACTGGGAAGCTTTGCAACCAGCCCGAGTGCGATGGAGGGGCTGGAGGAGGCCAACGATGCTTCCCAAAACTGAGAGTCTCATTTAGAAGCCTGGCATTTACATCAGCTGGCTACTGCTCCGAGGGGTTTGGGTTAGAGGGCTCCAGCAGCAGCAGTTCCTGCAGGTATCTGATGTTGCCCTGCGAAATGACTGGCCTAGCAAGAGGGGAGAGGCTGCAGCATCTCAGCTAACGCAGTCACTGGGCTGCGGGACGGGCACTGACAGGGAGCCGTCACGTCTGCCGGCAGCAAAGTCGGGGACAGGGAGACCACCGCCATGCTTTGCTCTTTAGAAAGAGCAGATGGATGTGGAGGCTGCCTGGGAGTGCTTCGAAGTTGCACGGCACAAGCGCAGGCTTTCACGTGTCCTTGGGAAGCCTCCGGTGACATCTCCTGATGTCATCTCACCTGCTCAAGGACACGGATTGCTGTCATGCTTGCCTTTCAGTCAAGACACTGTCGTTCAAGATCTTACAATTAACCACACGCTCAGCTGCCGTTGGGGATTTCTGAATGACACTTCTGCTAAGCAGCGAGAAACAGCACGTGCCTGCCTCTGCCTGGAGGCAGCCTCAGCTCTCTGAGTTTGATTGAGGCTTGCTCAAATAAAGAAGTAGCGGCCGCTGCACCATCAACTAACGTCACATTTTGTTTGTGTTCATGCAGGGTGGCTGCCCAACTGCCTAGACCAAACCTCGTCTTGCTCAAGCACTTGCTGTCTCTGCTCCACCACATCAGCCAAAACGCCGAGATCAGCAGGATGGACTCCAGCAACCTGGCCATCTGCGTTGGCCCGAATATGCTGAGCCCAGAGACGGACAACGCGCTCCCGCTGGAAGTGCAGAAGGAGATCAATGACAAGGTGTGTTGAACTCACCAAGGAGCCACCCGCCTCAGGGCAGCTCAGAGCCGTCCGTAGGGATCCCACTGCCTTTGCAAAAGCTGAATGAAAGAGCACCCCTGCACATTGGGGGTGCCTCTCGTCTCCATGCCTGCAACGTGACGGGCAAGGCTGCCCCTCGTCTCGCCTCCTCTGAGCAAAAGCAGCGGTTGCCCTGCAGCCCCTGTGTCGTGTCGCAGCTCCTGAATACTTTGCAGACAGAGAGCAAGGGGCCTGCGGTGGGAATTGCCACCCATGGGCTCTCTGGGCAGGGAGGCTGAAGCTGCAGTTGATGGCGTTTTGTCTGTATCGGGGCAGATCAATTCGTCTGCAGCATCAGGCCTCAGCGTCTGGGGTGGACTCACCCTCTGACTTTAAGCTAGGATATTGGTAGAAGCCATCCTGCTCTGTGCTGCTCTTCATACAAAGACAGCAGGCAGGGGCAGGAAAGACTGTTCAATATGTTTTCAGCCCTTTTGACTGAAATAAACTGTTTTCTATGTGCAGGTGACAGTATTGGTGGAATTCCTCATAAACAACTGCTCAGAAATATTTGGGGAGGACATTGCCTTGCCTGTCTGTGCCTCGGCTGAGGAGTCACCAGAGCACACAGACAGCTCCACAGGTATGAGAACGGACTGGGGGGTCACAGACTGGGGATGCCGTAGACTGGGGATGCTGGGCCAAATTCTTTAATTTGATATGAGAATACACCTGTGGAAACACAGAGAGTTGCAGAGGGTTCAAGACGCTCTTGCAGTGCTCTTGTAGAGAACTCTTTCCACATAGTTCCATTTCATCCTCAGATGGTCAGTGAAAACTAACACGTGCTTTGTCCCCACAGAACACCTGTGTGCTGCTCATCAGAATGACTCCGCCTATGACAGCCCAGATCCTGAAGCTGAATGCAGCCCCTGTACCTCTCAGACGGAGCAGCCCAAAGGGAGGAGCAGTAGTGTGAGCAGAAGATATCCAACACACATCTCTGTCCCTTCACTGACTAATTTCAGAAGTGACATCAGCACGATGGACAGAAGGTACTCAGAGCCAGACCTGTCCTTCCAGAACCACCTTGAAGGCAGGATAAGGAAACAGAAGCTAAACAAAAGTGAGGACAATTTTCCGGTTCAGCAGAAACAGCTAGGGTTGCAGGCACTGGAGAAACTGCTTGCAATCTTACCTTCACAATTATCAACGGACTCTCTACCCAAAACATCCTCCAGTTGCTCACTGGAGAGCTCCGATGGCTCAGTCTTCACCAGCTCCCCAGTAGTTTCACCCTCTAGTCCCAAAAAAACCTTCTTAAATAGACCCCAGTCCTTTTCCACCAAGGCCACCGAAGACTGCAGTATGCCTGGCAGAGACATCAAAAAGCATTCCATGTCATTCTCTTTTGCAAACCGCAGGAAAACACTGATAAAAACCCAGAGTTGGGGGCCTGGAAAAAACATGGGTTTTCAGAGAGACAGTTTCACAAAGAAAGAAGATGAGTTTTCCTGCAGAGTTGTCCAGGAGAACAGCCCTGATGATGACAAACCATTGCCTGCGGCGTATCAGCAAAGGCCCCGTTTCAGGTCAGCTGATGAAGTGTTCAGAGAGGTAGACCAGAGGAATCCTGGAAGACCACCCTCTTATGAAGAGGCTACTAAAAACTGCCTGGCCACTAAAGTTCTCTCCCACAATCTCACGGTTCAAACTATGAGATTAAAGGTGTCAAACCAGGACGCTTTGCCACCACATCCATGCAGCAGCTGTGCGCAGGATGCAGCATATACGGCTCTAAGGGATCTACCCAGTGGCAGAGCTTCTGCAGCAAAGGATTCTGACGTGGAAACTGAAACCCTCAGTGTCACTGTGGGAATAAACTCGCGTGTGAGTTTACCCGTGACCCCGGGAGTCTACCGGTTGAGAGCCATGTCTGAATCCTGTCAAAAGAATAAACTTGAGTATGTAGCTCGGAGGTGCAGCCAGCCAGTTTTTGAGGTAGACCAGATCCAGTATGCTAAGGAATCCTATGTTTAAAAAGCCTAGCCCTCCTCTTCACATTGTACAAAGTAAATATTGTAAAAAAATAGACATCTTGCTCATTCTTTGTAAGATTTTACTTTCAAGAGACCAAGAAGAAGCTAGCTCTGCGTGAACCTTTTTTTCCTCCAGGCTCTCCTGAAGTGTCTGTCACCTTGACATGTCACATTCTTTCACCACAAGAGGTGGTGGTGGGGAAGACCTGCGTATTAATATGTAAAAATGTAAGTGAATATGCTGTACAGAGCCTGTTGTGTGGGAAAACTAGTTAGTAGTTGATAATCAGCCTCGTATTTGTATCCCTAAAAGCACAATCAAAAGGTTGGCAGGTCCAAAACCTGTCCCATCTTCCTTTTCTTTTCTGCGTGGTTACAGATCCCATGCCATTTGTCATGTGTGTATGTCAGACCGATGCAATGCTTTGCTGGTTTTCTGCATTAAGAAGTGGGCTGGCTGTTACCCCAACTGAAGAAAAGCTGTTCTGTCATCAAGGCCTCTTCAGCACTCTTCCATAAACCCCCTGTATCTGCTGCCATTCCCTCTTCCTGCTTGCTGGTGATCAGAATGAACTGACCACTAACCTGCATTAGTGTTGTGTACCAAGCCTGGGTTTAGAGTCACCAAAGCCCTACGAGTCCGTTATGGGAATGTATCAAGTAAACCTCATGTGGCCCTAGGTGCTTTTAGTCTAAATAAACTGGACAGGCTAAGCAGAAAGAAAGAGTATCTTCAGGTTTGCTTTTATGACGGGAAAAAACCCCAAACAACAAAAACTCCTGCTAGGAAGCATTCTGGATTCCAGCTGTAAATAGTTAAAGCTACAGCCCATTAAAAAAAGAAAAAAGAAAAAAAGACAAAAAAGAAAATACCAGGCGGTGTCCTTATAACCTTGTAAAAATGACTTGAAGTGCAATGTGTTTTTACATGTAGGAACTTGTTTTGGTTAGCACTTACCTCCCTTTCTATGGCTCAGCGTAGCCTTGACCCAGGAGCAGGGAGACTTTTGTTTTTCTCTTGTGTAACTTCACTACAATAAAACATTTTTCTGCATGAATGCTAAACTCTCTGTTGTCTGTCTTTAAAACATCCAGGCACTAAATGTACTGTACCTGCTTTTATACTAATCCACAGGTACTGCAGGTCTGCTTGAAAAACATGGCGTCTCTAAGTAGCGGGAAGGAAAGTAACTGATCCGTTCAGTCAGTGTTATTTTCATGTCATGTCCCTTCACACAAGGGATTTCTCTTCTGTATAAGCACTTAGAAGGCCTCAAAAGTCGAGTATGACACAGAAAGAAGAGAGCTTTGCTTTAGCACTTACTCATCTGCCTTCAGCTCAGAAAATAGCTTTACCATGCTACCAGCCCACCACACCGCATTCAAGTATCCCACCAACTGCAAAAGTAAGGCCCTTTAACTGCTATATTCAACAAGTGAATTATCTAAACATCTTTGCCTCCTTAGCCAGAAAGATCAAATACCCATTTACAGGTGGGTCAGCTGGAGCTGGATTTTGGCACAGGATGATGACAGCAAGCCTCCTATTCTCCACAGGTTATTCCATCATCAGTATTGCATCACTTGCTTCATACATCCAATTTTCTAATTAAATTTCATGAAAACACTCTAAACATACACGGCATGTAAGATTGAAAGAGGGGAAAAAAGCAATCCTAAAGCAGAAGATCCAAGCCACTGCTGTGTAAGGCAATGCTGGAATTAAGGCTGTTGGTGCAGCCTGAATTCAGTTCCTTGCATCTGCATCCTGCTGTTGTTTTCAATCACATGACGCACTCTGTTCTTCCCCACAGGGTGCACCTGCTCTGGGGAGGAACCAAGGTTGTGCCGCAAAGGAGAAAGTTTTCATTCCGGCATTCCCCAGCACGGCTTGCCTAGCAGGGCACCCAGGCTTTGGACACATGGCTGTGTCTGAATTTCTAGGATTTGAAAGAGCCAACAGAAGAATAAAGGAGTTACACAGCAACACACTCCTCTCTTTCTTTCCCCATGTTGTGCACTGGGGAGCTGCAAACTCTTGTTCACTTGAGTTAGGACAGCAATTTACAGCAAAAGCACAGTGTCCATTGTCATGTAGAATACACCATTTGTGAAGGCTGAGAGAAACACCATGCCTGCAGGTTTCACAAACATTCGAACTGGCACTCAGGTGCAGACTGCAGACATCGACACTTCTATTTAGTTATCTGTATGTAAGCAGTTCTGAGAGCCTGTGTCTCATCTTCTGTGCCGTCTGCATGGAGTGTCTCTCTGGACTCCTGGGACTGAGTTGAGCGCAGGTTGAACACAGCTGCCTGAAAGTAGGTGTCTACAGTCATGTGGGTATCTTAGAGCACCTCGAGGAATTTTCTAAGGCGGCAAAAGTGGATGCACTTCCAGATGTTCCAGCAGCTGAATCCTCCCTGAAATCTCCTCTGACTGTAATTCACATGTAGATGGCACATTCAGGCACCTTGAACACAGGTCTCTATAATCTAGGGATGACACCTACTGACAGCAGAGAAACAGTAACACTCGAGATTTTAGGCTCCAAGCCTTCAAAGGAAGCATTTGTTGAGCAAGTATAGGCCCTCCTGCTTGCCCGTCTCCAGAGCTTGGATGCTTCTGCTCCATCCCGCCACAGACAACCCTGACTCAGACCCTCCCCTTCTCTACTTCTGACTCCTCATCTCTGCCTCATTGTCATTGCTTCCCCATTCCCAGCCTGCATTCCTCATCTCATCCGTTATTTATCTTTTGGTTGAACCAAACCCAATCTATCCCTGTAGACTTGCTGTCAAAGTCTCAATTTCATTTCTGTCCTCTCTATCCCCAGACCCACTTCTCTCAGCCAGTTTCAGTTTTCCTTTTCCACTTCTTCCACATTTTTCCTTCATATCTGCACTGGTTGTTAGTGCAATAAGCCACATCAACTCTCACCTATTCTCAGTCCCATACGCACCCACCCACCTTGTTTTAGTCTCTGCGTATTCAGAGAATCAGAATAGGGGAAGGAAACATCTCTCCAGCTACAGGAGAAAATATACAATTTATAAACTCCAGTGATGACCTCAGATCACAGCTGTAACATTGGAAAGCCTCTAGAATGAAAACTCCATGGACAGAAGTCCTTGACTATGGGATTTCAGCAAGGCATCTCCACATCTCTTGCTGTGGGGAAGGGCTGTCAGCTACTTTGGAAGGAGACTTGGAGCTAGGTTAAGGTAAAATAACAAGTCAAAATAAGCAGGTTTTCCCCACATCTCACCAAAACAATGATGTTAGGGATATTTTTTGGTAATTGCTTATACTCTCCAAGAAAAGGTGTTGTCAGTACATTGATTTTTGCTGCCTCTACATGCAAGTCTTGGGGAAGAAGCTTTCTGACCCATCTGATATCCTCTCAAAGCTGTTATCTGAAGGGTATCTCTTTCTGGGAACCACAAAAACTAAAGAAACCACAAATCCTTCACACCTCAGGAAAAAAAAACTGCTGGTCAGTGAACAATGATGCAAAGAGAATTGTTACTACCATGGATATCTTCTATAATATCTGCCACACATAGCCCAAGAAAGCCCGTCACTGGATGTAGTCACAGAACAGAATACAACCACTTATGTATATAAGATTTTTCTTCTGTATTTGTTTGTAAAAGGATTGTATCTCTTCAGCCTTTTGTTTAGAAATAGATCTCTCTATTTTCCTGTAGCCCTAAAGCCAAAATGAATGGCTTTGGTATTCCTGCTTGGATTATGTATACTTTAATATTAAAAAGCTAATACTGATGTTAAAAGCTAATGATAAAATTACTGCCTCATAACTCAGTTATATATTGTAGGGAGTTCCACACAGACCATTTTTACCATAATGTTCCCTCTTGTGATACTGCTATCAAATGCCTCCAACTACAACAGGAAGTACCACAGGAGACAAAAATCCCACCTGTGTTATTTTCAGTCTGGGGATGGGAGTTCTTATTCCTCTGCTGCCTGTTCTGGTTTTGGTGCTGATCCATCCCAGGAGAGCAGGTGGTTTGCTGCAGCACCACACCAGCACCGCGTATTCCTGTGCTGACTCATTCATCACCCATACACTGCAAGTGACAATTTCAGCGTCCAGTCGCACCCAGGCAGGTGTCTTGACCCAGAGAACAAGATTTGTGCCATAGTGAGGCCAAGAGATTACAGCCCTTGTTATTACAGGGGGGAACTTTGGACAAATATAGGTAGTCACCCAAGGATCCTGAATGATAGCCTACAGCAGGTAAAAGAGTTCTCAAGTTGAAGAGCCACTGATTTCCAATGCCTCTTTTCCAGGACCTCCAAGATCAATGGTTCCCTAGGGGAAGGTGTGATTATGGTTGCCAGGAATTTTATCCTTCTGCCAGCTGAATGTGTCCAGAGACAGCTCTTCCCACAGGATCCCTACAAAGGGAACCCCTTCATAAAACAGGCCAAGAAAATCCCCCAGTGGCTCACTGCCAGCAACTCCCTGACAATAACATTATCTTTCTTCCCTCTCTCAGGAAAAGAGGATGTTTTCATGTGCCATTTCTGCAATTCTGTATTTCTGTTTGATGTAAATCATGCCTTTGATAACGGGTGCACAAGCCATTTCACCTGCCCACCAAGACATGTTCAAGACAGCAGGCCTGCTTCTCCGCTGCTCTGCAGACTCAGGGGATACCAAGAGCTGAGCACAGCAGCTGTGAAGCACTGTTTTCTTGGTACATACTCCCTCTGCATGGCAAAATATGCCTGCCTCAGATGGCAAGCAGCACAGAAACTCATTCACCAAGTTAACTTGCAAACTCAGCCACGAAGTTAACCAAGTTCACTTTGAACTTGGCTTGGTTGGCTATCCGACCCAGCAAGCACTTCATGTCCAGAACTCATCACGCCCAGCTGCAAAATTCAGGTGATTAAAACACGCTGCTACTCTGCTAGCATTAGCCAGATAACAGTTACTGCGGCTATTGTGTGTTTCCACGAGGACAATTT